TGTTTAGGTTCTCTAACGACATACTTAGGGAACCTAAACAAATGGGTAACAGGGAAAGATCAGGGAAACGTAGCTTTTTTTAGAGCACCCGAGCAAAGGAATGAATGGAGAACCATGATCGGCGATGTCTGTCGCAGATCTGGCACTGGATGATGATGGTAAGGATGTTAACTAAATTAGTAGCATGATTATTTTCACATTTGAAAAGCGAAAGAATAATCAATATTTTAAAAAAAAGTATCGTAATTTTTAAGGCTTTTTTGACTGCGGCATTTTACCCGAAAGCAACGGATATTACGTGGCTACTTATTTAGCACACAAATCCCAGATTCCACTCAGTTCATTGACATATCGTCGGCCTTGTGATAAAACCGGCTAACCCCAGCGAGGTAAATTTTACAGGAGAAGGAAAAAACTGTTTCATTTCAAAACAAAGGTGTTTTTAACGATAAACCAGTGCTTCAAACACCTATAAAAACACTTTACCGAAAAACTGTAGACCTTTTTTTCCTTTAAAAATCGCTTTTAATGAAACTGTGTGGGTTAGACGGTTATGTCGCTCAAATTTTCCCCGATAAAACCGACCAACCCTCAGTTTTGTGGGTTGGCCGGTTTTATCAGGAAGCCACTGCTGGCCTCGAGTTTGGGAAGAGGAAGAAGAAGAAGAAGAAGAAGAAGAAGAAGAAGAAGAAGAAGAAGAAGAAGAAGAAGAAGAAGAAGAAGAAGAAGAAGAAGAAGAAGAAGAAGAAGAAGAAGAAGAAGAAGAAGAAGAAGAAGAAGAAGAAGAAGAAGAAGAAGAAGAAGAAGAAGAAGAAGAAGAAGAAGGTTGAGGAGGAGGAGATGGAGGCGGAGGAGGAGGAGGAGGAGGAGGAGGAGGAGGAGGAGGAGGAGGAGGAGGAGGAGGAGGAGGAGGAGGAGGAGGAGGAGGAGGATGATGAGGAGAAAAAAGGAGGAGGAGGAGGAGGAGGAGTAAGAAGGAAGAGGAGGAGGACAATATTACAGCTACCAACATACTATCAGCTGCTGCCATTTCAGTGCTACGGAGTCAATTCTGGCAAAAACAGCAGTCACAAATTGGACCATTTAATAGAAGTAGAAAAAGCAGAACACAGCAATGGGTATTTTAATTGTATTAGAAGTAGAAGAACAGGAGGTTCAAATGGTAAGGGAGAGCAGCTACAGCAACAACAACAAAAACAACAACCACACCAACACAAACAAAAACAACAGTAGTAGCAGTAGCATCAGCAGGTCTTTAGAATTTATGACAGTGCCTGACACGGTACTATTGGCACAGGGTGGCCTTTCAAATGCCTGGAAAAAAGTAATACTAAAAAAGAAATGAAAGCAGAAAGCCACAGAGAAGCTCTGCTCCCTCAGCAATGGTTTGAGTGAAGTTGACTTCATAATAATATATTATTATTCTTATACAAAAAGACTTTGTAAGTATCAAAGAATGCGCCAGCTTTCTTCAAGGTGCGTGGCTTGACAACTACTACTTTATTGAGTTTTCTCAACAATAGAAGAGCGTGTCTGTCTCACTCTGTGTCCTTTGGCTGTAACAAGGCAATACGACAAAAGTTACCATTGTTTTGAAAGACTGAACAATAATCGAATTTGACTTGATTGCTTTCAAAACTTCTTACTGAGGCAAAGTTTCATGGTAATTGTGGTAGCATCGTGGTACGACCGCCTTCAACTCCAGTAGATGTTTAAACTGGTTGGCAGTTATCTTCAATCTTTCTTTGCAGAGAGGTCCAGCAGTAACCGTAGTACATTGGGTGTTCAGCTTTCTTGGTCCTTGCAGCGCCTGCCATCCATCATCAAAGTTCAGCTTGTATTGAATTGTTAAGTATGGAGTGTACTTTGATGCCTGCAAGTCAGTGACAGTAGGATCGCCTTTTTTTATCACTGGAAGGATTGTTTAGTGCTCTCCGACCTTTGCAAAATTTTTGAAAAAAGCTGTGGCCAAGGTACATAACTTCATAGGGCCTGGGGATGCGTCTGGCTTGGAGCATGATGTTCACGTAGTCCATTGGGATGTACATCAGTGCGTTTTAGAGCCATCGCTCAATAGTGCCATGGACTGAATCCACCTCCATTTGGGTATGGCCCTTGATGAGAATTTCTGCTCAACTGTGATGTTTAGCTCTTTGGCCAGCGAGGCCATTGCACTCACCAGGGTGGCAATTATGTTTTAGTAGTTGCACCAATCACTGCAGATGATGAAGTGGTTGAAGCCAGTCGCTTGCAATATCAGTTAGTGCGTCAGACATGATGAAAACTGTTGAAGCTCAGACCAACTTCACTTTCATCCCAAACATATCATCCGGCGTCTCTGATGGCAAGATCCTAAATTGTAAAATTGTGTATTGCCAGTTTTGTCTTATAATACAAGGTGGATGTCTTTAGTGATGAGACCAGAAGGACGCACTGGATCCCCATACAAAGGACACACATTTTGTTCTCTGGGTCCAGTGCCGCCTCCCTGTCCTTCTCCTTCTCTGGTCAAGCTGCAGCTTTCCACATATTCATATTTGATGAGCTGTGTATTCTGTTTCTGTGAGGTTTCCTAATTCGAAGCTGGTGCAAATATCGCACTGGTCTTTCTTGGTTGAAAGTGAACCCAAATTGTCTTTCTTAAACTTTTGGCAGAACATTTGATAGCTCAATGTGCCTTTCACCCTCTCTGCAAAGTTCTCCATGTATACTTGATGCAAATCTGACGTTTCCTGGATTGTCATCTGAAGACAGGAGGATACGTTCGAAAGTTTATCAAGAAATTCCTCTTTATGAAATAACTTGTCATCTTTGGCTCTCTCATAGTGGGCGTGATGTGTTCTGGGGGGGGGGGGGACCTCTTGTTTGATTTTTTTTTCGGAGAAGACACTTTAAATAAACCAGTGGGTCAGGCCTGTGGTGTTCATGAAGATTGTTTTACAAACAGGTGTTCTTTGACCATTGACTCTTTTAAGCGATATTGAAGAGTGTAATTTCTCTTTGGGATTTCACTTGCTATGTAAGATCTCTTTTTGTCTATCCTGTGTATCAAGACATATACGTAGGCTCCCTTTTCTTTCCAAGAGAGTGACCAGTGATGTCATTGCATTTTGTACCAACCAGTTTACAATAGCAAAGGACGACAAGTTCACACCCTGCTCGCTTCGTGCCTTGACATGGGTAGAGGCATCCCCAGTTCTTTCAACCTCTTCCTTTTGTTACCCTTCCAATCGTTTTCATGCCGTGTCCTTTTCACGGAGATCAAAGGCGACATAACTGTTGTATTATCCACTGATGTGACATTAGCCTGGTCATTTTGATCACTTTCCACTGCGCTGAGGGTCAGAGGTGACGTAGCAAGCGTGGCATCATCTTATCGAATGTTATAGCGTTATGTAAGTTAAAGTTTGATATAAAGATAAAGCATTATGTTTTGACACTGAGAAAATAATCTATTCAAAACACTAACGAAATGAACTTTCAAAGAAAATCGAAAGATGTTTCAGAAGGTAGTGACTGCAATAAACACTGCAAATAAAATATAAAAAAGCTTTAAAAGAAAACGATCGTTGGGGGCAGACGGTGTGCTGGACAGGTCCCACATTTTTTTTCTGAGTGAGTTAGTAAAGAATGAAAAGCTACCGACTTCGTCCATTCAATTGCAATGGAAAAAATGATTAGGAAAAGAGACAGTAGTCCGAATAAGGGAAATGCCTTCATAATTCGGTAACTGTCAAGTACAAAGACAAAGAAGAACACGTGGACAGAAAAAATAGTTTCATATAAAACACAATCCATAACGATGCGTTTGAAATACCGGCATTGTAATGAGATAAAAACAGTTCTGTGGGTACAGTGGGGAGTTTTCGTCATTAATAACATTATCAGCAGCATTAAAAAGAGGAAAAAAAGAGGGAACAACCAGATCTATATACCTCCCAAATGAAACCAACAAGAAATATTACATAAATTTCACTTTTGAAGAGCTCACATGGTTACGTGAGCGAATTGTGGACTATCAAACGAAGTCCTGAGACGAGTCGAAGCTGGGGTTAGTCGGTAACGTAGCACGTGGCCCCTCATTGTTAGCGCGACAAAAACAGCCAACCCTCATTCCTTCCCTCGCAGGTGGGATAGTCGGAAACATCGGGCTAACATCCGATCGATGCGGGGTTATACGGTTTTATTTCTAATGTTTTAAAGACATTTCTAGACAAAATTTAGATCTGACTATGAGTGAGCTTATGGAATGGACAATTTGCTATCGATAGGGCCCAAAAAAGTTTTTGGACATTTTGTGGGTTAGTCGGTTTTATCACCAGGCCGACGATATTTAACTTTCTTTTGATATTAAATTAACAAAAACATAGACCATTTTGCTAAAATTGCTAAAGAAGCCCCCAATTGACCCCAGACATCGCTATTCAAGACACATGGAGTATAATTATCTCTGCTCTTGGTCCAAATTTATATCATAGGGGTGAGTTTTAAGTTCCTGGGTTGATTTTTTTATGTAAAAAAATAAATGACAAATAAATTGAAGAATAAACAATTATTCCCCCCCCCCCCCTTTTCAACGTTTTTTTGGGCGTTATTTTTCTTTTCCTTCCCTTTTTGGGGGGTGGGGGTTGTAATTCACCAAAATCAAGTCTATACACTGTGTAGAAAAACTAAACAGGGTAAATTATAGTTTTAAACAATATCTGTCAAAGCTACCAAATATGTTTTGTTTTCTTCGATTTTTAAGGGAAAGAGCCAGAGTATCTTTGAGTTGCTTTAAATTTGAACGCTCCTTTTCGATAAACAATGCATAGACAAATAACGTATTAAACGACCGAAAATATAACAATGCTGCAGCTCTGAATTTTGCCAACCGTTTTAACAAGTTTGGTTGAGTCATAATAAGTGTGCAATAACTGAGAAAAATTGAATAGGCATAATAATTGCTAACTATATTTTGCAAGCTTTGACACGACAATATTCTAAAAGCCATACAAGCCAACAGCAAATGTGTGTATGAATACGTAACAACCAACTTCAAAGATTAAGAAAATGTTCATACCTGCATTATGATCTTCATTAATTCATCAGTATGTAATGGTTGATCTGCACGGTTATTTTCATGAACACGAATTCTGGAATCGGGGTCACGATCTCTGTTGATTCAAACACAACAATAACGATTACATTCTCACCATAGTAGGGGGGGGGGGGGGGGCAATGTGATATTACAACAAGAGTCGGAAAAGAAAATAAGTTTCCATCGACTCTAATCAAGGAATGGAAAAACAGTAACGTTATCTGCACAACCTTTCTATGGAAATTCCATAGACATTGCACTTCTAGACCACACCATGTCATGGCCGTCACACTTCGCACTCTATTAAGTTCGCTGTGCGTACTATAGGACGCGCCATTATTCCGCCAAATGAAATGACAAACAGAAATCTCGCTACAGTTGATTTTCATTTGGCTCAAACTGATGTTAGTGGTGAGCTCCATAATGAACCGGAAGTATGCAAGTGTGTACAATCCAGGATATTAAAATACAAGTCTATGGGTAGTTTAGGTATATAGATGAAATATATCTAGACATAGGACTTAAGAATTTAAATAATTTATATTTGAGCCGTACGTGTACTCGACACTCAAAACTGCTTCATTGCAACATAAATACATGTACCATATTCACACTTTTCAGGCTACTCTAATATGCAGTCACAAGCACTGATTATGTGAGATAACTACTGGATTCATTTTTTCTCCTCTATTTTTTAAGATCTTTATAATCGGATCACGACATGATTTCCTAGCCAGAATAAGCTATACAAAGACAGTCAAATTTGAAACCTGATCACCAATACATAATTAATTGTTGTACATGTATTGTCATCTCTGCTTCTTTGCCTTCTGTTTGTGTATTCACATCTTCAGTTAAATTAAGTGTTGAAAAATCTTGACACCAACATTCCCACCGTGCGTTTGAAAGTTATAATATCTCGATAATTTTGGCGGGTGAACAATCTTACAACATAAATTCAGGTTGTTTTCATATACTCTCAGTGATGACGCCTCGAATAAGAAGGTCTGATAAATACGACCCTGTTGAAGGAAAATCTTTCGTGCGTGGCCTCATTTCTACCAGGTTCTTTGATTCACTTAGTTTACCCTTTCAAATAAGTCTGCCTTCGCCCCTGGACAGTATATATTTTTTAGTACATGTGCACACTCTGAGATAGTGTATCTAATCATGCTGTGCCATTATTCATGGTCATGGCTAGCCCCTTTGTAGATTCAATTGGATTTTTCGTAGACAAGATAGAAAAATAGCTGATTATAATACACTTTTCTATTACACACAATTACCGCCTCTCTTTCCGCTATGCTCACTTGGAGAATCCTTATTATACGACACTCCTGAAGGTCGCTAATTATAATATCGGCCGAGCGGAAGCAACATGTGAAACCCAAGTGGATCGTCAAACTGGTTATTCTTCTTTCCTTGTCGATTTTTTTCTCATCACAGCTTCTGTACTAGGGACACGGTGCTTTGTCTTCGAAATGGCTTATGATACATACTATTTAGACCCGTTGGTTAATAACAGCCCGGCAATAACAGCGGCGGCGGAGACGTCGGCAGCAGCAGCAGCAGCAGCAGCAGCAGCAGCAGCAGCAGCAGCAGCAGCAGCAGCAGCAGCAGCAGCAGCAGCGGCAGCAAGAACAACAAAAGTACCAAAAAACAACAGCAACAACAGAACACCAACAACAATAGGACAGAATTACAAGCACAACAAGAGCCCCTACCTCAAGTATTTGTTCAGATCTCCATGTTCCATAAACTCGAAGACCATCATCCACTGTTCGCCCTCTGTACACACACCGTAGAAGGTGACTATGTTCCGATGCTGTAAAGTCGCCAACATCTCAGCCTCTCGCTCAAAATCTGCTCTCACCAGTTCGTTGCAATCACCTTTCAGAGTCTTCACTGCTACAAACGTAAACTCGTCTTTCTTCAGCAAATGAGCACAAGTGCCCAAGAATACTCGCCCGAAAGCTCCTTCCCCAATGGCACGAATCAGGAGGATTGTCTCTAGTTTTATTTTCCTGAGAGCTTGAAATGAATATAGAAAAGATTTAAAAAATAATTTTTTAAAGTAAAAAAGCTCATACGTACGTTCACACTCATATACAGACACGCATACGTTCACGCATACAAATGCATCCACACGCCACCCGCACACACACATACACACATACACACTCTAGCACACATCTACATATGCATACACTAGCACGCACGTACACACTCGAACACAAACATGCAAACATGCTTGTATTAAACACACACACACACACACACACTCACATACACACACATACACACACCCACACACATACAAACACACACAGAGAGAGAGAGAGAGAGAGAGAGAGAGAGAGAGAGAGAGAGAGAGAGAGAGAGAGAAAGAGAGAGAGAGAGAAGAAAAGAAAAGGAGAAAGAAATTGTATGCCCACACACACACACTTATATTATATTTTTAAAAAAATATATATAAATATAAATATATATATATATATATATATATATATATATATATATATATATATATATATATATATATATATATACATATATACACAAATTCATGTATATATAAATATAAAAACATATATACATATATTAAAAAAATACATATAATATATATAATATAATATAATAATATAATATTATATAATATAATGTATTATATACAAACATTAAAAAAAAATTGTTTCTTTATCAAAGATAATAATATTTCTTGTTTGTTTCCTTTTTTACAAAAAGTGCATTGGCGAAAAACTCAATCAACCAAATTTCATAAAGCTGATATTGACCTCAAGCTTCGCATAAATTCTCGAACTGACTCTCGAGTTTCCACTCACAGCTAGAGCTTTCGTCCCTTTTCCTTCCGTGTCCATTGTAGTTTGGATTGTCCACCAGTTGAACACCAGTAAGAGGAACACTCTCCTGAAGGGTGCTCTTCCAGGCAGAGAACATTTGACTCCTTGCATTTCTGCCCCTCGCCAGGACTCGTGATTTTCGTCGACGAATAATACAGAAGATAACGACAGCGCAGACAAACAATAGTGCGACGCATGTTGAAGTAATAACTATGATCTGAAATGAAATCAGAATTTCAGGTCTTGTTAAGAAGCATTAACGTGCAAATTCACCTTTTACTTAGTCATCTCTATAAATATTCAGCCAACTTAACTTAAAATATTATGTTCCTCCGTACTTTGTGTTCAAGGTAGTCCTACAACCGCCCCCCCCCCCTCTCCGCCATTTCTTAAGTCCCCTCTCATTTGGTGATCTTCCTCTGCATTTTCCCATCTCCTTCTCTTTCTCTGTCCTTCCCTCGTCTTTCTTCTGTTCTTATTGTCACCCCTCTATTTCACATCGCCATCAGTCTCTTGTCTCCATTTCCCCTCCCCCCCACTGTACTAATTATGTCTCATTCTTTCTCTTTCCCCTGCCAAATAAGCTTTTGATTTTACTTTATCTCTTCTCTTCTTTTTGTATGGGTGGCACCCCGACCAAAGGAAATTGGGCCCCGATGGGACGGGGAATTGAATTATTTATATTATTATGTCTCTACGCCCTTCAGAATTCATTCATCTTCTTCCCCTCGCTTTTCACTTACAAAAGCATCTTTCACTTCAGCGTATTTACCGCCACGACTGAAAAGCAAGGGGAAAATATCGCAAAGGAAGTACAAGAAAATTAAAGTAGAATGTTATTGATTGCGAAATACATGGAACTTCGACTGAACAGTCCTATGCACAGAAAAATTAATATATCGAGACCACAGGCGGCTGGTGGGGCTACAAAGTGGACGTGCACAATTAAGCTATCGCATGCTGAAGATAGTCAAGGGCATAGTAAATAAATGAGACGGTGTAAAATGTTAGGATCTTTGGGTTGGTGAGGGAGGACCTCGCGCTTTTATTTTCATTCTTTTTACTTGTCGCTTTGATTAATAGTAGCGGTACTAAATTTGTTAGTTAGCTAAACATCAATCTCGTTGATCCTGTATTGGAACTGAACACTCAAGTAATAACTTTCACTCTCCACTATAAAACCATTCAAAGGCACAACTCATAGGACGGTCACCTTCACCTCCCTCAGGTTCACGGTCAAAGAGTCACTTAAAATAGTGGCAAGACAGACAATGAACCAATCACAATTCACTTGAGCACTTCGCTGGATTTCTCTGGGGCTCACATAATATTGGCAAAGAATAGCGTACAGTCTACCGCGATTATTTTTAGACTGCCTACTGTGGGCTATGTTTCGGCATTATTCGGCAGGAGCACATTTGAGATGTGCAGTCTTATTAATATTAATGTACCGCCAAACTCGCTACGAGTGTTGTCATCGCTTGGGTTATCCCCAGGAGCGATTTTTAGGTCAGGTTGCACTGTTTAATATCCTATCAAGTGCGTGGATTTTGGTATGGCATAGCATATGTTTTACGGCGCTATAGACACATAAATGACAGTCATACCGCCAGTGAGGACCTTGTTTTGATATAATATTTTCTAGCGTTTGTTTCTGGCTTTTATTTTATTATTGTGGTTGTTTTACGTAACAGAACATTAAAAAATGTTGGGCAGCACTGCACCACCGTGCTCTATGGACGAACTGCGCCTGATCGAGACAAAACCTAACCCATGTTGACAAGGATCGGTCCTGTCGTAATAGTTAATTATAATATTATAGAGGCTCAATAGAGTGTTGTTTCTTGCTTCAATATAGATCTATAAACATTAGTCATAGAGGAGGGGGTTTGTTTAGTGTCTGTGCTCTTCTTTCAGTGAGTCCAGGGTTTTTTTTTCAGACGCAGACCAAGGGAGAGTGAGTAAAAAGAAAGTACACAGTAGTAGCAGTGCCTGAATAGATCTGTTAGTCAGAATTACTTTCTGAGTGTGGAGAAATGCGTGGCAGGCAAAGCATCTTGTGAAGTTTTTATGTCAGTATATTGATGTTGATGGAGATAACGATGATGAGTTTGATATCAAGTCACAAGCACACTTCGTTAAGAATGAAAAAATCGAGTTCAGTTTCAAAGGGGAAAAAAACCCAAGTCTTTGAATAGGTTAACTCTAAGTTATGACCTTTAAATGAAGAAACGCATACTGACTACTTCCTAGGTTATTTTCCTGCTTTATTTTGAAAAAACCCAACAACAAACAAACAACAATAACAAAAAAAGCAGATGAACTTTTTTGGAACCAAGTGGCTTAAGGTGCACATGTAACATCCAAGAGCAAATTAAACAACCCCCCACACACACACAGATGCTATCTTCATAAAAATGTATGCTATTCTCGCAAAAAAAATAAAAAAATAGGCCTATTATTTTATAATAAATTAATAATTCGAACTGAGCATTAGTGATGGTTTGATTTTTGTTGTTGTTGTTTGTTTGAGGAAGGGAGAAGGTCAATTTTTCGACGTCGACATGTTGTGCTGTGAGCAAGTATGGAAGGCAGATAGATGGTCCTGAAACCTTGGGGTCTAACAACGACGACTTCAAAGCACTTGATTTTTTAAAAAGTACTGAACTAGATTGGGGATGAAGCGTTAACGTACTACGAAAGTTACAGAAAAAAGCATCTTCCCCCCAAAAAAACCCAACAAGAGACCCCCTTACCCCGGCCCACCCGGGGGAAATTTTACTGTTGATATTGATTTCCTATCTTTAGTAACACTTTTGCAGTCTTACTTGGGAACTATTTATAAAACTTTTATCAGTTGCAGTGATGTTGGTAGAGCTGCTATTCAGTCCAGGGTGCGTCTCATTTGACTGGGAGGGCAATTGATCATGTCCGTGTCCGTAAACCCTCTCATTGGCAGGCTTGTTACGTCCTCTCAGGACCCCACTGATTCCTGGGTGAGGTCGTAGTCCAAACTCGTTGATATCAGCGGGAACCAGCCCTGAACAATTGACAGAGAAAGTGATATTATTGTGATACAATACATGATGCTCAAGAAATGCTAAGTTTTCTTTTGAAACGAAGATATTTTAATTAATTTCAGAGAGAAGTTTGTGTTACAATGGCACATTTTGCGAATCGATCTCTCTCTCTCTCTCTCTCTCTCTCTCTCTCTCTCTCTCTCTCTCTCTCTCTCTCTCTCTCTTTCTCTCTCTCTCTCAGACACCTATATACAGACAGGCAGACAGACAGGCTGACAGACAGGCAGACAGACAGGCAGACAGACAAATATATACATAAAGCAAATGTTTATATGTATGAGATATACTCTGTTCCACAGTTATATAGGGGCATCCAAAAGAAACTTAAAAATATAATAACCCGATGCACTACCCACTAACGCAGCATGCCAATCTTAAGTTAAATAAATTCTACATCATAATGGCACATTAATATTTCGTCTATACACGTATTAAGAGACGGCCGAGATATTGTCACTAAAAATTGACCTGAAAAAAAAAGCAGGCTTGGGAAAATTGTGCAAATCAAAGAAACGTAAAATTGTCTTCGTGCGCGTATTGAGGATCATCAATATTGATAAAACAGACCTATTATAATGCATATCCATTGAATGGGGAATGTTGTCTCTGCCATCAACAATATTTTATTTCGATAGTTTCGAACAAAACGGAAAACAGAACAATCACAAATACCACGCAAAACTTGAGACTTAACATTGAATGTGCTCATGGTTATCATTTTGCTTCGGAGCCATTGGTTTTGTGAAGGGCAAGAACCCTTTGGGCATCGGCTCTATTAAATGTTGAACATAATTATCTGCCATTTAAATTCTAAATGTCACTGACAGTTGCATTCAAAGGGTCTGAATAGGGAGCAAAGTCGTTTTATTTTCAGCTGCTGTTTCTACGGGACTTCACATACCTGTAGGATTCATATCGGGGCTATTTACTGGTGACCACTCCAATATTGATATGATATGGCTTTTCAAGAATTGTCTAGTTGCATTGGCCCTGTGAGAAAGTGCTTTGCTATGTTTGGAGATGTCTACTTGAATGACACTATGACGAAAATTAGGGTAAGGCATGACGTTCCAACACTTGCGTTGTGTAGTCCAAGACTTCCAGTGATTCTCACATGAGCGGTTTTTTTCATTCCATCCCAGACCACCCCAAACCATAGCAGTTTTGTGACCTCTGTTGCTCACTGACAGAGGATTACTCCAAAATCAACTTAACACAGTCCATGTGCAAAAAAGGTTTCGTGCTCTTTACGAAACCAATAGCTCCTAAACAAACACAAAATCATGCTAATGAGCCGATGTAATGTTATGTCCAGGTTTTGCGTTGTATTTGTGATTAATCTTTTTTCTAATCTATTAGAAAATACTGTTCAGTGCAGAGACAATAATATTCTCTTTTCACTTGATATCTAATACGTGTCCATTCCACTATCTAATACGTGTCCATTCCACCAATAAATGTTGATGCGCATCAATACACGCACGACCATACTTTTACGTTTCTTTGATTTCGCACACTTTTGCCAAGAGTTACCATATCTTAGGTGTCTCTTAACATAGATGAAATATTAATGTATCTAGTGATGCAGAATTTATTTAGCTTTAAATGGGTACGCTGCATGAGTGGGTTGTGCAAGGCTTCAACACAGTGATTGAGTGATTACCTTTTCAAGTTTCTTTTGGACGCCGCTGCATTATTAATAGTACCACCAGTTCCATTGTTTTGCCGCTCCAAGGTAGCATTATAATGTACTTCTAAACCTTTTAAAAAATTGTATTGCATAACAAATCATTCAAATAAACTGCCGGGCGCACAGAGCCATCCTCATATAAAAGCGTCTTTGATTTAATGGCTCAAATCCCACCTGTGGAATCAACGTGTATCAAGTATCTATCTCTGCCTATTGGCTGGGATGCTCTTTCTGCCCCTGACCTGACATTGGAAGAAGAAGGTGAAACTCTATCCCACTCACCGCAGTTAACTATATAAAAACAGCCCGTTTCTAAATTACCGGCGTCGGTGATGTAGTGGTTAACTGTCGCATGCAGCAGACCCGAGTTCGATTGCCGAGAAGGGAAACATTTTTTAAAATCGAGTATCTCAGTCTTTTCGCTGGGATGTATCCCTCTCAGCCGTGGTTGACCTTGACGAAAGGGTTCGGAAGCCCGTATTCTAAATAATCTAAATTGTGTATGTGGGGGCGTAAAACACCCACATTAAGAAAAAAGTCCTAGGGGAGCGCCATGCTTATTAGCTGGCCACACCTGTTATAAACTGGGTACTGCCCTGGCTGACATTCTTTGCTGTCTTAAAACAACCCCCCCCCCTTCATCCCCTTCCCAAAAACAAATCAAAATGAAAATACATACTTTGCTGCTCAGGTGCACACTATGAACGAGCAAATGAAGGCAAAATACAAATATCGCTATAGTCGATTGTGTGCGAATCCCCATCCCCCTTACGTTTCATTTGGTTCCAAATAGAGTCAAATAGAGCGCTCCATAGTCAACATAAATTACGCCAGGTATGCCTAGCGTAGGACGTTATAATACAGGTCTATACTAGATGCCTAGATATGAACATAATGTTCAGTCACACTGGGTAATAAATTTAAGGGCAAAAATAAATAATCCGAAACACGTTATTAGTAAGTTTTTCGAAGTTAGAAAATGACGACAAGAGAATAGAATTACAGAAAACATCACAAGTAGTTATCAGGGTAATCTGAAAGTCGACATTTACATTATTGCCCGGATCCACTAAGTCTGAATATGAATAAATCGACCCAAATGGGAAAATTGCTGAGAATAGAATTACAGAAACAATAGTTATCACGAAAATCTTAGGGTTCGATTTTTCTTTATTGCCCTAAATGAGAACGCGGGGGCGGAGCGGTTAGTGCGCTCGTCTCTGAAGCAGAACGTCCGGGTTCGAGCCTCGGTTCGGAAACGAACTTTTTTTCGCACCTCCTGCCTACACAGCAGTAATGGGCACCTGACTTCGAGTTGGGGAAGTAAATGCGCGCGGAAAGGAACTGGCCACCGTATAATTGCCTTTCTCACCCTGCACCAGGGTATAGGCCACGGACTTGATGTTATTCCATATCTTCCCACTTTTCTGTACAACGATTTGTGTTATTCTTCTCCAGGATCCACGAGGTCTTCCCCTTGATCTCTTGCCCTGTGGGTTCCAATCCAAAACTTTCTTTGTTATGTAGCTGCCTGACTTCCTGAGAGTATGTCCAATCCATCGCCACCACCTTCTTCCTACCTCATCTCTGACTGGGATCTGTTTTCCTTAACACTTGGCCACCCTACCATGCACACTATGCCGAAGGCTCAGGAAGTTGTCTCACTAACAAGGGAACCCCCAATGTACGGATCGGAGGCGGGAACAACTTTACTTTTTTAACCTAGATCACCAAGTCTGAGTAAAACGTTCTAAACTGACTCATGTTGTATATTCCGTTTATCTGCCGTTAGGTTTTTATTTGCACTACTTAATTTTGAGCACAGCCCTTTGATTATAAATAAACCCTTTTGAGAGCAACAGCTAATCCAAATAGAATAATAATATTTTAACTGAATACTGCATTATAGACCTAGTTTTGTAAGCAGACATTGAACCAGAGATATGAAATAGGCCAAGCTTCTTAAACACACCTACACTTCGCCACTTTTTTAAATTTCGGCTTGGCTGCACAGCACTGGGTGGAGCGCTCCGGTATTGATAAATGTAATTTATCCACGAAACTGTTTTTGCGTATGAGGCTTTCTCGCAAGAAAATTAAACCCTATATATTGCTAGATACACGTCAAAACATCTCAACATTCCAACGAATCCTGGTTTCTAGGCAAACTGGCCTACTTTTAAGGAAAACCTACCAAAATATGTAAATAAGTCATACGATACTTCAACGGATGACAATGCACACAGCAGAGACTCCCCAGCCCGTGAAGGCTACCGACAACCCCCCCCC